GGCTGGAAGAAACGGCAGCAAATGTCTCACCAATAGTATTCGCAATTTCTTCTATAGAGCTAATCACTCGGCCATCTTTTTCCAAAAAGGAAAGTGAGTGGTCTTTATATATTCCGCATGCTTTTCGAACTCTTTCCCAAACCCGCTTACTAGGCGTAGAGGATGTTATTGACGACACATATGAAATCCAGGAATCCCTCTGGCTCTGCCTTCTTACTTTTCGTGCATTTGCTTTGGCTCTTTTAAAGGCTATGAGGTTTCGCAGAGTAGGATATCTACGAAAAATACCCCATGCTTTTTTCTGTTTTTTCAGTGCTTCATGACAGTCGCGATTCCACCATGGTTTCGAATATTTTAGTATTTTTCCTGATGTTCTAGGAATCGAAAGCATAGCTGCCTGAATAATAGTATTAGTAACAGCTTCCACAGCGTCATCGATATGCACATCTTCTACCATTTCCTCTGTGAGCTCTGCGGAGGAAGAGAAGAGTCCCCAGTCTGCCCTGTCCAGTATAAACCGAGGGAGTCTCGCCATGGGGTTTGCTCCTCTTCGTGCAAGAGATACAAAAATAGCGACAACTTGGAGGGATGTCGTCAAAGAAAGTACATTTGAGGGATAATCCAGTGAGGTGAGGAGACCTACACCTCCACTGGCACGCTCACCTGCAAGGTTATCTTTCCTGACGAAGGAAAACTTCCGAAGTTTTGCCTGTTGTTCTGGTTTTAGATTTGTTTCCTGTATTGCGAAGCATACAGGATGATAAGCATTAATTATGGCTTTGATTTCGAGCAAATTTCGGTGGAAACCGCGACAGTTCCATGAGACGAGGGTGGCCATTATGACTGGTTTTTGTTCTTTCTGTGCTCTTGTTTGGTTTTTCGTGGAAGTAGATGCCTGGGAACTTCTAGACCCTCTTCTACTTGCATACCATCTGAATCCGCGGATTCAGAAATCATATCGTCAAGAGAGGTATTGCTAGGACTTCTATTTTTATTAATTATTTTGTGACTTTCAGTTTTAGGTTTACTTTGAATGACTGTTTCTTTCTTTTTTTTTTTTTTTTTTTGTATTAAATGAGTTGCATTTTCCGTTTTTCTTGGTGGATGTAGGTTGGTTGGGTTTTATTTGGTTTAGTCTGCGTGCCTATTGATGTTTGGGTGGCAATGCTACGTGTTGTTTTTAACTGCACTGGCATAAGATTTGTTTGATTGGAGCTGTGTGCTTTGAACTAGTTTTCTGGCTTCAGGCATACGAGATGTTCCTGGTAACTTTAAGCAGTCTGTACTTCTTTTTCGGATTTCCATTTTGGGCAGAGGCGTGAAAATGCTGGGTGCTGACCCTTGCAATTTATACACGAAGGCGCAGCGGTACAATTTTCAGAATCGTGGCCAATCTGTGAGCATCGGGCGCATGTGAGGCTGCCACGACAAGACGTCTTAGAATGGCCGAAACGCTGGCATTGGAAGCATCGCATAGGGTTTGGGAATATAAGGTCTTACAGGACAATTTAGATATCCGGCCTTAATATTCTTAGGCAGATCAGGCGTGTTGAAGGTAAGGATCACGTGTTTCGTGTCGATCAACTTACCTTCCTTTACGCATCTTGATCCGCCTAGCACCGCAGACATTTTGGTTCGGATAGCTCGGAAGCGATCTCTTCTTCAGAAACATACAGAAGGTCGAATTCCGAGATTACACCACGACAATAATTCAGTGTCTTATGTGCTGTTACAGTGACATTCGCTTGCCCAAGTTTAGTTATTTGAAGTAAAAAGAAGCAGACTGGGTGGCTGAGATTGTATCAATAAGCAGGTCTCCGGAGCGGAGACGCTTTATATTTCTCGGCTCACCAATACAAGACTGGATGTATTTGTTTATTACGAAAGGAGACATCTTATGCATTTCGCCAGAAGGACTAGAGATGACTAGGAAACGGGGACTATTGTTATGATTTTTTTTCATTTGTATCTGTTCGTAATTTTTTTGCAGTAGACTTTTCAGAACTAGGTTGAGTGACTGGTTTAGCAGTAGTCGTTTCAGAACTAGGTTGAGTGACTGGTTTTTTAGCAGTAGGCATTTCAGAACTTGAATTTAGGTTGAGTGACTGGATTGACTTGAGTGACTGGAGTGACCTCGAAATCTTTTATTAAGTATATATGTGAGTTAGCCATAGTGAAAGAAAAAATGATTCGGGTCCGACGGCCCCGCCCACCACGGAGCCCAACAAGGGAACACAGATTCCTGTGTTAGGGCTAGCCGGACCTATACGCAAACTGAAGCCCCACAGTCGGCTTTCCCGAAAGCAGGTACTCCCGAGAGCTTGACCCCAAGCCACTGACACAAGGACTAGTGACCAGCCGATTGACACCCGTGAGGACGACTAAGGTGCCTCCCGTTTAGCTGAAGCAGAGGCCAAAGCAGTGTGTTGGGGACAGTACCTCGCCCCTCAACTACCAGGACCCTCCTTTCCAGCGACACGGGTCTCCACGCACGGCAAACACGTGGGCAGTTTTCTCGCCACTCGAAAACTAGAAACAAGGGTTGCTCTAGTCTCTCGTGACGAGCCCCAAACTCCGTAGAGAGAAACCACAAGGGAGAAGGGAAGGGAAAAAAAGTTCCAGCCAAGAGGAGAGGAGATGGAAAAGAGGATAGATCACTGGGGCTCCAGGATCGTGACACCCGTCTCATCAAGAAGATGATCCCCTGAAGGGCTAGGGTACCTCGGGATTGCCACACCCGTACTCACAAAAGTGAGCCCCCTGAGGGACGAACTGCATTAGATCATTCACAAGATCTCAAAGAAAACTGAAGTGATAGCATACAAAGGATTCATAAATATAATTGCATTCATTTCACTTAAATTTCTTTTTGGCAAGTTTAATTCAAAATTTGACATTTTTAACAGGCCCGTGGTTTTATTTTTAGTCACATTATAAGGTATTTCTCCTGCTTACTTGCACGCCTTCGTAGTGTAGTGGTCAGCAGACTCGATGCGATTTCGAGAGATCCGTGATTCGAGTCCCGGCGAAGATGTTGCTTATTTTTCATCTCTTCTGTTTACACAAAACAAACAAACAAACAAACAAAAAAACTAATGCCTCAACAGTGGCGTCCAATCTAAAAGGTGGTGAATGTCGATTCTCACCACCAGGATTTGGCGATTGATTCCCCTAAATCCCTAGTCGTCCTTTAAAAGGAGAAGTGGTATTTCTCCCGCCTTCTTAGCATGCCTTCGTGGTGTAGTGGTCAGCACGCTTGACGCAAATTCGAGAGGTCTGTGGTTTGAGCGCCGGCGAAGGCGTTGCTAATTTTTCACTCTCTTGCTTCGAAAAAAAATCGTGAATATCTCTACAACTCGTAAAGTCATAGAATCAAGTAATGAATCTTCCATTCATTGCTAAAAAGTGGGAAATAAGTTAAAAATTCGAAAATTCAATTTCTTTATTCTTGTGGAAATTTGATAGAAATCTTATCGTTCAGTTAAGCTTGGCAAACGGAATTTGCCAAGTGTACATACAGTTGTTGCAAATATTTTATAAAGTCTCATAAGATAATTCTCCCCCCCTCATAGCATGCCTGCCTTCGTGGTGTAATGGTCAGCACACTCGGAGCGTATTCGATAGGTCTGAGGTTCGAGTCCCGGCGAGGGCATTGCACATTGTTCATATCTCTTGCTTCCATCAAAAAATCTAATGTGTCTACAGTGGCGCCCGAACTAAAGAAAGGTGGTGGAAGTTGATTCTCCACCGCCAGGATTTGGCGATTGGGTCTCATAATCCCCAGTTGCCCTTTAAAAAGGGGAGTATATAAGATATTTCTCCTGCCTTCGTGGTGTAGTGGTGAGCACACTCGGCGCGTAATTGAGACGTCCGAGGTTCGAGTACAGATGAGGGCATTGCTCATTTTTCACGTCTCTTAGCATCAAAAACCCTACCAGTCTGTCCATTCAGATCAGTAATACTACACCAGTTTAATTTTTGTATTTTTTTTTTTTTTTTTTTTTGCTGAAATTTTCGAAAATATAAAATTAATGATTAATGGAAACACTGGGAGTGTTTGAACAAGTGTTTCCTTGAGATACTTAATTCTTCAGAAGACTGGATGATTGACATAATATATAATTGGTTTTTCCAGTAATTCAAATTTTGACTTCCCAAAATCTGATACTGATATATTAATCTGGTTATAATGGTACATTCATCTCGTTTAAATACATTGCACTGTTAGAAGACAACTAAAAAATGTATTAAAAAATAAAAATCTGAAAGCTTTCAGATTTTATATTACGTCTATTTATATTACGATTTTATATTACGTTATTTTTTAACGTTTTGTGTGTTCTCTTATTAAATATCATGTTCTTCGCACTTAAACCAGAAAACTCAATTCAACAGCAATATCGCAAAATATTTAAAAGAACATATCTTTAGAATTTATGATACAGAATCTCGCGCGCTGGAGATAAAAATGCTTTTTTCTACCGTACAGCGTTTCTATTGCTCGTTTTGAAATCATCGAGTTTGTTAATCAAAAATTCTTTTATGTTTGACAAAATATGAAATAGATGATAAAAACAAATTCCAAACTCGGGCTTCCAGATGCCCATATTCGAGTGAAGGACTACGTTATTAAAAACTGGATGTCTCTAAGCACAGTCGTTTTTCCACAATGCGAGAAAAATACATATATTTATGCAGATTCTTCATTATTTAATTTCTTTAAACATAACGCAGGGCGATAATATTTGGAAGCAACAATTTGAAAAGGAACCGACATTTATGGTGAACCGACGCAAAATGCCAAAACGAAATTAAAAGCCCTTCTGAGAAAACATCTCCTTTTGGCTAACAATTTAGTGTTATTTCAAAAGACCAATTTAGCGAGAAGTAATTGTGGCAACTAATTTCATCTTAAATCGCTTGTTTGATACTATTTATTTCTGTACACGTTCACATTTATCGTACACAAAGCTTAATATTTTATTCTTTTTTTGAACTAGGTTATTGTTTTCTGCATCGCTGTCTCCATTTCCCAAGCAGCTGCCCTATTTCCAACAGAAGAAAGGCTGGATGCTCCCATACTCCAAACTGAAAACGTAGGAGTTGCTACCAAAGCTGTTGCAGCTAATCCTGTCACAATATCATATAAAACCACTATTGACCATGTTGCCCCCGTGAAAGAAGCGGATGCACCTGCAGAGATTGCTTCTACCCATATCACCTCGACGACCAGTGAAATTGCAAATGGACTTGTAGGAAACAATGTTGTCGGCGGTTTTCTTTCTTCTGCTGGAAATGGAATCGGCAGTGGTATCATCGATAATGGAAAGGGTACTACGAATAACGTTCTCATTGGTTCAAGTTACGGCACTGGGTTAGGATATGGATCTAATATTGGGTCTTATTCTCTTGGAGGTGGAATTCCTGCTAATGGACTTCTCGGTACTCGTTATGGTGGTGAATTCGGGCATGGAATCGCCAGCTCTACTTTTGGAAACGGAATCAGTGGAAACAGCTTGCTGAACACTCAGGCTGGAGTTGGTCATGACGTTGCAGAAGCTTCTCTTGTCGGAGGAGGACTCCTTGATAACGGACTTTTTGCTACAACTGCTGACAATGGACATGGAATTGCCACAGCTACTTTTGGAAATGGAATCAGCGCCGGCAATCTACTGAATACTCAGTATAATGCTGGAATTGGACATGAAACTCCTATCGCTGTTGGAGGAGGAATGCTTGGCGGTGGACTTTTGAATAGCGGATTACTCGGTAGTGGATATTTTGGGAATAGACTTCTCAGCATTGGTTACGGTAACGGAATCGGACAAGAAACAGGCAGTAATACTTTGAGTATGGGAAATGGAATCACTGGTAAAGGACTTCTTGACATGGGTTATGGTGGAGCTTTAGACCATGCGATTTCCTCCAGTCCCGTCACTCTTGAAAGCGGAGTATTTGGTAACAGTTTGCTAGGTACCCGCTATGGAAATATATTTGGACACGGTATGCCCACATCTTTATTAGGTGCTAATGAAGGATTTCTTAGACAGGGATATGGCGGTATTTTAGGTCTTAATTCAGGACTGAATATAGGATCCGGCGTTATGAAAACTATTTATTAAACAAATTCATTTTTGTATTAAATTATTTGTATAATTAGAATTATATGTATGCTATTATAATTTAAATATATCTTGAAGTACAGATGTCAGATTAAATAAATCGTTATTTATTTTATCAGCATTCCATACTTATCAGCATTCCACACTAATAAATATACTAATAAATACCATTTTATTTGCACTTGAACCATACAATACAATTCAACAGCAATATCGCAAAAATATTTTTAAATGAGCATATCTTTAGAATTTCTCGATACATAGTCTCACGCACTGTAGAGAATTTTTTTTTCCGTACAGTATTGTCATTGCTCGCTTTAAAATCGTTGAGATTTTAAACCAGAATTCGTTAAAGTGTTACAAAATATGGAATCGATAATGAAACAAATTTCAAATTCCCAATTAGGGCTTCCAGTTGCCCATATTCGGTTGAGGATTACGTTACTCAAAATTGGATGCCTCCCAGGTACCGTTGTTTTATTACAATTCGAGAAACATACATACACTGATGCAGATTCTTCATTATTTAATTTCTTTAAATATAACACAGGGCGATAATAGTTGGTAGCAACAATTTGAAAAGTGAAACGGACATTTAAAGTTTTCGACGCAAAATGCCAAAATGAAATTAATAGCCCTTCTGGGGTAACGCCCCTTGGTCTAAAAAAAACACGAATGCAGAGGTAATTATTAAATTTACGACAAAGGAATATAAGCAAATTGTTAAATAAAAGACATAAAATAGATGGAACTTTGTTTAATTTTACTATATCTGTACGAAGAAGAATAGAGAATAAATGGGAAATAATGAGGAAAGTGTTATTATATGAATGCGAAGTTGTCTTACATAAAAATGCCACGTAACTGCCTTTATGAGACATCACCTTTTCTTCACCTTTTAATTCTTTGTTCAAGACTCACTGCCTCTCCGCTTCACTCAAAATTTCTCCAATAGAATTTGTTGCTCCCTGGCTTTTAAAATGTGTCTGAAGTAAGGCAAGGCTATGGTTATGCTACACAATCATTATGGTTATGATCTAACCTGCTTAGAATGATATCGCTAGGTGAAACCTTTGCTTCTTGTTCTATTTATCCCAAATTCCACCGATCAGATCTTCTTGTTAAGACATTTCCTTCACAATCTACATTTGAAAATTATTGCGGACTTGAATGTTCGTAATTCGAGATATCGTTTGTCATTTTAAAGCTCTCACTTAAGTTTCCTCCGATAAAAATTTTATTAATAATAAGCGGGCAGCACTTCTTAAATTAACAATTGTCTCGAAGAACAACAGTTATTTTTGTTGCAAGAAGAAATTTTGAATTAATCTATTTTTGCATTCCATCAAAATTTAGTCAATTTTATGGCAATATTTTGTCGTTTATTACTGTTTAAGATCATAAAACGTAGCACATATCAGCCGCAATATGTTACAGAAATAGTGCTCAAAATTTAATGATTCGCGACTTTCCATGTGTATGCAAAGACTATTTAGAATTTTCGGAAAATCAATTATAATCTCGTCTGTATTCGAACCATCCTGTTTACCACACATTTTAAGAAACGAGCCGATGTAATAACTCCTTACAAGTTTCAGTTCAAATTTTTCATTCATTTTCAGTGAACTTACTATTCAAAACATTATTTTTAAAAATCTGTCTTTTTTAATATCACCTTATAGCGAACTTCCTCCCTCCTTTCTGCATGCCTTTGTTGTATAGCGGTTAGCACACTCGGCGCGTTTCGAGAGGTTCAGGTTCGAGTTCCGGTTAGGGCATTGCTCATTTTTCCCGTGTCCTGTATCCATAACCCTAATGACTCTACAGTAGCGCCCGAATTAAAAGAGTTGGTTGATGACAATTCTTCACCACCAGGATTTGGCGCCCCAGTCGCCCTTTAACAAGTTAAATGTCGCGCTCTCGTTTAAGAGTGCGCACCGTTTTGTGTCGCCAGAATCGAGCCATGACGAGTATATTCGTCCATCATAGAGTAAGTTGCGCTGGTAAGATATTGGATGAAAAAGGTGGGTTTATTTTATAAACTGAAAATTTATTACTAATATTTACTTATTTGGTTAACATAAGCATATATTACATACAAATTAAACGAAAAACGCAATAATTAAAATAAATATTCTACAATAAAATAAGAATTTAAATTCCTGTTGTGGAGTGATATTTAACGAAACTATACACAATGGGATTTTTTGAATCGAACACCAGTAACGTGATTCCTTCCTGATCTTACGTTTGTAGAATGCAAACACCTTCGCGTAGGGTTTTTTTTTTTTTTTTTTTTTTTTTTTTTTTTTTTTTTTTTTTCCCCGATGTTCCGAGTACATAATCCGGAACATGATTCCCGCCTAATTAGCTTATATTAGGTCTAAATGGCCCGAATTTGTGTCGATTTATTTAGTCTCAAAAATGTCTTCAATAAATTTGAGCAAAAAGTTGACACGCGATAATGTTCCATTTTTTTTATATAATATGAATGCATTAAGACACATAATATCTAAGAAATGGAGAAATATCTTTTTGTAGTACTTTTTGAGTCATTTTCTTGCCGTGGAGTACGGTATGATAATTCCATCCCTCATATACACGCCACCCATTTTTTTATTATAATCAATCACTAGCTCCGGCTTCTTTGTTATTATTTTTCTTTTCTCTGTTTCTTATAACGTTGTCATTATGTACAGTACTTACTAAATAAACCTTCCTCTTATCTTTCCATTTCATGAACATAATACACGCATGACGAGTATACTCGTCAATACACAAAATCGTGTCGCTTCTCCATAACGAGTATACTCGTCAATCACAGTTAACTGGTTAAAATGAGGAGTATATAAGCTATTTTATCCCTTCTTTCTGCATACCTTCGTGCTGTAATGATAGGACACTCGGCGTGTATTCGAGAGGTCCTATGTTCGAGTCCCGGCGAGCTCATTACTCATTTTTCATTCATTGCATTTAAAACTAAAAGTTATAAAAATTTGTTTAAAGTGACAGACAGCAATTTGCTTTGGTGGGTAAATATACAATTTTAGCCCAGTTTTTCTCTTAGAATAAAAATACAATGAACTCTAAACAACTTTGAAAATTGCCATGAAATCAGTTGAAAATAAGAACTTTTCTGATAAATCAGGCCAAATCACACCTACTATCCTGTCTCCAGAAACTTATAATAAGAAAACTACTAGACAAAGCGGGACAAGTTACTCCGTCTATTCAATCTCCTCAATCTCAAAAAGAAAAAAATCAATACTCAAAATAAATCAACTCATTTTATTCCTAATTTTCATTTAAATGAAACTCAAACTGATAATTTTCATCAAGATCATCTGCATATGAGATCAAGCTGCCATACACATTAAACTCCGAATAACACTCAACCATACAATTATCCATCTGTGAACGATTACAGCTCAAATAAAAAATCACCAGCACTTATCATCCATCCAAAAGAAAATAATACGACTGAAAAACTTTTAAATGATTTGGATCACTACGTACCATTAAACAGCTTGAAAGAGAAAATTTAAAAAATAAATAAATAAAAAAATAAATAACCAAACTTAAAAGAGGAGACCTGGTTGTCCCCTGCGAATCTTACAACGATGTCAAACTCCTTAAAACTACAATAATAGATAGTCCAATAGATAATATTTCTCTACGAATCTCTTTACCAAGTCTTCCAAGATGTAACTTAAAGTAAGACATGTAAGTCACAATGTTCCAGCCCATGACACGGATCAAGACATTTCTGCTTTAATATCTTCGTTAATATACACATCCAACCACTCTTTCACCCCACTTTTCAAACTTTCAGAAAGATCAAAATCTACAACAAAGCGGGTAATTGAATGTTCCCCTACGGTTTTTGAACTTCTTATCAACATGAAATCAATTGCAATAGGTTGGAAAACTATCCGAATCACCGAGCACTTCGGAATTCGTCGATGCAACAATTGTCAAGATTTCGGCTAATATTCCAAAGCGGTTAAGTTAGCCAAACGATTTTGGCTTCAAAATTGCGAATTTTTTCGCGGCAGTGAAGCACTAAGAAGTTTTTTAAGTAAACAGAAGTAACTTAAGCTTCCGTAGTGTGTGTGTGTGTGTGTATTTAATTATGGCAAAGCACACTAGGGCTATCTGCGTAAGGGGAGGGACGGTTTTTGAACTTCTTATCAACATGAAATCAATTGCAATAGGTTGGAAAACTATCCGAATCACCAAGCACTTCAGAATTCGTCGATGCAACAATTGTCAAGATTTCGGCTAATATTCCATAAGTGGTTAAGTTAGCGCCAAACGATTTTGGCCTTCAAAATTTGGCGAATTTTTTCGGCGGCAGTGAAAGCACTAAGAAGGTTTTTAAACGTAAACAGAAAAGTAACTTTTAAGCTTTCAGTAGTGTGTGTGTGTGTATGTGTATTTAATTATGGCAAAGCACACTAGGGCTATCTGCCTAAGGGGAGGGACGGTTTTTGAACTTCTTATCAACATGAAATCAATTGCAATAGGTTCGAAAACAACCGAATCACCAAGCACTTCGGAATTCGTCGATGCAACAATTGTCAAGATTTCGGCTAATATTCCATAAGCGGTTAAGTTAGCGCCAAACGATTTTGGCCTTCAAAATTTGGCGAATTTTTCGGCGGCAGTGAAAGCACTAAGAAGTTTTTTAAACGTAAACAGAAAAGTAACTTTTAAGCTTTCAGTAGTGTGTGTGTGTGTATTTAATTATGGCAAAGCACACTAGGGCTATCTGCCTAAGGGGAGGGACGGTTTTTGAACTTCTTATCAACATGAAATCAATTGCAATAGGTTGGAAAACTATCCGAATCACCAAGCACTTCGGAATTCGTCGATGCGACAATTGTCAAGATTTCGGCTAATATTCCATAAGCGGTTAAGTTAGCGCCAAACGATTTTGGCCTTCAAAATTTGGCGAATTTTTTCGGCGGCAGTGAAAGCACTAAGAAGTTTTTTTAAACGTAAACAGAAAAGTAACTTTTAAGCTTTCAGTAGTGTGTGTGTGTATTTAATTATGGCAAAGCACACTAGGGCTATCTGCCTAAGGGGAGGGACGGTTTTTGAACTTCTTATCAA